TTCACTGTGACTGAAGCAGGAGACCAAGCAGAGAGGAAAGGAGACTGAGGTTGGAAACAACACAGTGGTAAGTCTGGTTTTGGGTTTAGGGGAGAAGGGCAGGGCTCTCTAAGACCTTTTGCAGAAGCCAGGATACTCGATGTTCCCAGACCATGTCTCTATTGCCCCAAAACAGTAGCTTGGGTCACACCCCAGAGCTAGGATGAACTTCTCCTTTTAATGAGGGCTGATGGAAGGATAGTCCTTTAGGGTCTGGTGGAAAAAGCATGATGAAACATCTGAATTTGTGCTGTATGGGCACCTGCTTGCCGCTGCTGCTATGTCCACCCGCTGTCACAATCTGAAGCTTGAGCCTGGAGCCTCCTGAATAGCACAGGTCTGTCACCAGGCTGCTGATTTCTGTGTGGAGGAACAGGAGGTTCTAGCCATAAAAACCGAGTGGGAAGTCTGTGAGCTGAAATTGCATCCCTGATGGCACGGATGTCCCATATAGATGACTCTGTGCAGGTAATATGTCCCACATCCCGCTGCCCCAGTGGAGATAGAGAGCAACTCTTTATCCCTGCAGTTACAGACAGCAAAGCCTCATTAAAAAATTAAAGATCATCTCTGTATGAGGAGCCTCACAGTGCTGGTGTGGCCAAGGTAAATACTTGCATACCTGCTGGCCCTCGTCACAGCACTGGGAGGAGTGCCCTGGGCTGAGGTTTGATAGAGGCTGTCCTCCAGGAGCCTATTGGGGGTGTTTTCTAGTCCCTTTGAATCTTCCTAGTGTGAGATATCCTCTGGCTGGCTTCAGCATCCAGTTGAACAAACTGAAGTTTCTGCTTGGTCCTCACCATGTGCACAAGTCAGACTGGCTCAGTTTGTGAACCAGTGTGGTGGCATTGCTGCCACCTGGCATGTGGGCAACAGCCTGGCTGGGGTGATAGAGCCGAGCCTGAGCCTGCAAGAGGGGAAGGAGAGAAGGAGAGGCTATATGACATCAGGAATTGGCTGCTGAGAGGGGATGGGGATTAAATGAAAAGACTGCTTGAGCAGAGCCCGCCTTGCCCGCGGGAACTGCTCCACTCCGTTTCACACTTCATTTCCTATGCAGCTGAGCCCTAAATGCTTACTCTGGGCTTTATCTTAACATTTTAATTGTGTTTACTCTCATTAGAACTCTGTGCTACTTGCAGCATGTGAACTTCTGCATATGAAATCCCCACCCTGTTCATTTTGTTTGCGTCCTCAGGTCACTTGCACTCTGCCATGGCCAAGTCACAGAGGAACGGCTGGGCTACGGCCTCCCCACCCCCTGCTAGTGCAGTGGTTACCACCACAGCTCCACCAGGCTTCCTTGATGGCTTTGTCAGCCACATCCCATGTGAGTCCAGCTGGGCTTGCCCCTTTTTCTTTGGAAAGTATTCAAGAAATGGGTAGATGTGGCACTGAGGGGCATAGTTCAGTGAGAATGATGGGGTTGGACTGCAGTTGGATTTGGTGATCCTAGTGATCTTCTCCAGGATTTTAAGCTCAAGCCCCAAGACACATCTTTGTAATGCCGAAACATGAGGAGGGCATTGTAAATGCACTTTGTGTGGTTTTGTTTGGTTTTAACTCTTCTGTTTACTTCATTGCACCAGTACCCAGATGGGCACTCATTGTTGTGGCAGTGGCAGTGGCTGTTCTCCTCCTCTTCCTCATCTGCATCATCAGGTGCTGCTGTGGCAAGAAGAAGACCAAGAAAAAGGAGAAAGTTGGCTTGCTCACCTTCAGTGGCTCCACCACAGCCAGCCTTGTGCGTTCTGCTTTCTCCTGTCCCCTGCAGCTCTCCTAGCAGGGAGGTTTGCTCTGTGATGCCCACCTCCCCACGACATGCCCACAGTGGTGGGACTGCTTGTGGGTGTACAATTGGGCTGGGATTGTGGGGGGAGGCTCTTCTAAATGTGATTTTAGAGCAAGTTGATCCATACGATGCATCATGCCAGGATGGAGAGCAGGAATGTGAACTTTGTCACCATGGGCTTTCAGCAGACCTGGGTGTCCCATCCATGCAACTTAGTATGAGGAAACATAAGGCTCTGGAACCTTGTCCTGAGGGTTGTGTTGCTCTTTGCCATAGGTGCAGCGTGAGATGGAGGCCCTGGAGCAGGGCCCAGAGGAGACAGGAAGAGGAAGGCTTCAGTATTCTCTGGAGTACAATTTCCGTGCACAGGAGGTGAGGCTGCTGCAAGGCTGTGCTCTGGCAGAATCCTTTGGTGTCCAGCAGGACCCAGGCATCCATACCGGGTGCACCTCTGCACCCAGCTGGCATACTGACATGGTGGGATGACATCCTCCTTGCTGCACTTGCTTGCTTGTCACCTGTCACTATCCTCCACACAATGACCTCACACATTGTTCCTTTTAAGCTGAAAGTTGGTGTGAAGCAGGCAGCTGATCTGAAGGCCATGGACAGTGGTGGCACATCTGATCCCTACGCTATTGTCTACCTGACATCAGATATGAGAAAGAAGTATGAGACCAAAGTTTACCGCAAGACTCTGAACCCTGTCTTCAACGAGAGCTTCTCTTTCCAGGTAGGAAGCAACAGCTGCTGATGATTACTTTGAGGATTCCTTTGCTACCAGGGTGGGAAAGCAACAGAAAGACCTGCTGTTGTGTCTGTCCCACCATTGCATGTGACAGGGAGTGAGGTTGGGTTGCTGGTTTTTTTCCTGCAGGTACCCCAGGCAGAGGTGTCCGAGGCCACGCTGGTGATGCAGATCTTCGACTTCAACCGCTTTGCCAAGCATGATATTATTGGTGAGGTCCGCCTGCCCCTGGCCAGTGTCAGCTTGCAGCACATCATCGAGCAGTGGAGTGACCTAGTGGTGGCCAGCAAAGTGGAGGTTGGTCCTAGCAGGTGGGACACATCATGGGGTGAGATGTGGTGCTGCTTTTCTTTCCACCACTCCACAGTGAGAGAAAACAGTGGGTATCCTTTGCTTTGAGAGTCCCCTGCTCACTGGCCCCTCTCTCTATCAGCAAGAGCGGCTGGGTGAGATCTGCTTCTCACTGCGCTATGTCCCCAGTACTGGCAAGCTGACAGTGCTCATCCTTGAGGCCAAGAAGCTGAAGCGGATGGACTCTCATGGGCTCTCAGGTAAGCAGGGTCTGCTTGCACTCACATCTCTCTACCTGGTGCTACTGATAGCACCAAGACCTGTAAAACCTCAAGGACTCTTGGTGTGGAGCCATGTCCATTCTCTCCTCAGATCCTTTTGTCAAGGTGCATCTCATCTTGAACAAGAAGAAGTGGAAGAAGAAGAAGACGAGTGTGAAGAAAAATACTTTGAGCCCTTATTTCAATGAGGCATTTGTCTTTGAGGTGCCTTTCAATCAGATTCAGGTGGGTTTCTCTTCAATGCCCAAGGCTGAGCAGGCCCCTGCTCTGATGAAAGTCCAACTGACAGCTTTTCCTGTGTCCCCACCAGAATGTGGATGTGGTCATCTCCGTCTGGGACTATGACAAAGTGACCAAGAATGAGCCCATCGGCAAACTCTTCCTGGGCTGTCGGGCCACTGGTAACCAGCTGCAGCACTGGTCTGACATGCTGTCCAACCCACGGCGTCCCCTCACCCAGTGGCACAGCCTGCAACCCCCCGATGTGGTGGACAAGGCCCTGGGGTTGAAGTCCCACCTCAAGCTGCCTCTGACCACCAGATAGCGAGAGGCAGCTCTGGCACCCTTGCTCACTCATCACTGGGCAGGATGAAGGTTTTCAGAGGTGTCTGGATGCAGCTCTGCACCTGGGTGATGCTGGAGAGGGTGATGTGGATGCAGAACTGGCTTGTGTCAGCCACTCGCAGCTGGGGGATGAATACAGAGAGCTTTAAGCTTATGGGAAAACATTGCGTCCTTTGATATTTTTTGAATAGAACATTATTATTATAGAATCACAGGTTGGAAAAGGCATTCAAGATCAACGATTCCAACCATCAGCTGGACCTAATAGGTCCCACCACCAAACCATGTCCCTTAGTCCATAAATCTCTTAAATATCTCCAGGTATGGGAAACTGCACCACTTCCTTGGGCAGCCCATCCCAGTTCTTGACCCACCCTCTTAGGAAACCACCTTGTGAATGCTATGCTTATTAAGGCTGAGTTGCAGCCGTCTTGTCAGTTCTCTGTGGGTTTCATGTTGTCTAGGTGCTGCTTGTGCCCTCACATCCTCCTCGGGGTGCCTTAAGGTGGGTAACTAAAAATCCCTCCTGTTTTGAGGTGGATCCTCTGCATTGTCTGCAGCCTCAGGAGCCTCCCAGCTCCCTGAATTAGTATTTCAATGAGCTGACAAAGAAGGGGATTGCTCTTAAGAGAATTTTAATTCAGTTGAGAAGACTTAAGCCAGATTGGCACAGACACTGCCTGACCCCACTCTGTTTCTGGCAAAGAAATTGCTCTTACTCCAAAATACACCTGGAAAAGCCTTCTTCCTTTGTTAAACAAACAGCCATAGCACAAAGATTTGGGCTTGTTTCACTGTATTTGGCCTCAAACTACAAAAGGGAAGTAATTTGCACCAGGCAGCCTGTAGGAAGCTGCAGGCTCTGGAGTAGGGAGAGCTCAAAGCATTAATGAAGAGCCATTAATATTGAAAAGCAGTTAATCTGCAATTATCCCAAGACCCATGCAGTGACTATCAGAGAGTTAAACAAATACGGTGAGCCTGAGGAAGATTATGAAAGCTCTTGATAGAGATTAATGACCCAAGCTTAACTATAAAAAGCTACTGTGTCTGTTTCTTAATAAATGTCCCCTGGGCTTTGCCTTTGCTGTGATGGGGGGAGAAATTACAGAGCTGTTTGGGGATAGCTATGACAAGTGGAGTGTGGCCTCTGCTGGGAGAACAGCATGAGCTGGGTGCCCCTAATGAAATGGAGGAGGAAATCAGTCACCTGAGAAATACTTACAGAAGGATGCTGAATGAGTTAAAGCCTCCAACCTTAAATCAAACTGGAGGGGGTGATGCAGAAGGGAAAGCTGCTGTGTGAGAATTCTGGAGGCAGCTGGGGACCCAACCAGTAAGTGCTCATCAGGGCAGGTGTACTATTGCCCCAGATGAGCCTCACTGAGGCATAAATCCACCTGCCGATCTGCTCCCTCAAGAGGAAAGGGTGAGGGGATTGTAACTTATTTTACTCTTGAGCACAGCTCACATGGAAGCCTACTCATAGGAAGGGGGATGGCTCCATCTTGTGCTAAGTCTGGTGGGTAGAAGGGCTGGGTTCGTCTTGACTCTCCATCAGCATGTCCCCATGGCCTTAGCAAGGCTGGTCGGTTGTCCCCTTGTCGCTGCTGTGTCTCTTGTCCAAATGGCTTCCTTATGCTCTTGGAGGACTGACCACGGAAATGCACTTCTGGAGGAAGAGGAAAATGCTGCAGTGGAAGATAAAAGAAAGCAATGTTAGTTGAAGGTGAAATCTCAACATGTGCCTATGCTGGATTCCCACATCTTCATCTAGAGGGCAGGGCAGGTACATGTTGAATGATCTGAGTCTCTGTGTCCTCAGTTGTCCCAGTTAGAGCTCTGCCTCTTTATCCAGGTATCCTTCCTCTAGAAACAGGGGCTTGTGTAGGAGAAAAGCCTGTTGCTATGGTGCATGCCTGGGTCTCCTCCTTGCAGACCATACCATGTGGTGCAGTGAGAACTCCCAGACCCTGCAAAACTCTGTAATTTGGGCTGGTTTCTGGCAGAGGAATCAAAGACTCACCAAATTGCCCTGAAATAGAGCAACATGCAGCAAGAAGAGTCTGTTGAACACTGTTGACCATCAAGAAGCAACAAGCCTTGGGCATGTCAAGAGAAATGCAATTGGTATGAAGGAGAAGAGGGAAATAATCCTGAGGGTGGTCAGACCTTGGGTGGGAATCTCCATGCCTGAAGAAGGTCTTGCCATGTGGTTCTGAGCAGGACCTAGCTTTGGATCCAGCCCTGATGGTGGCCCTACTTGGGGCTGTGGCAGGTGACATCAAGGAGACTCTCCCAAAGATAATTATTCCCTCATTTGGTGATTTTATGACTATCTGTTCAAGTTCTTGTACTTCAAGAAATCAGCCTGGAAATCGGTATCAGGCTAATGCTGAGCATTACATATGCTTGTCACCATTTGTCTGCTGTGAGACGAAAATGATTATGGGCTGTCATCGTTCAGCCTGGCTATGCACTGGCTGTCCTCCAGCTCAGATTTTTTGGCTAGTCTCACAATTTTTGAGCACTGGAGACTATCTAAGCTTCCCTCACAAGGAATGAGCCTGCCTGTTTTATAATGATGCTAGTTAATGAATATTTATCTCATCATTTTATTGTGAAACTTTGCCGTGCGACATGTTTCTTTTTTAAAACTTCTCAGCTCCAGGACTTGCAGGATCTTATGCCAATTGCAGCTTTTTCTTTTAAGGAATATTTTTAATGTGGTTGCAGAGAGAGAGAAAGGGAAACAAAATACTGAGAGCAGGATGCCTTCTGGCATGAAACCTGGAGGTAAAGCACAGTTTGCTTGTTTGCCTGGAAAAGCAGTGGGGGCCTGTGGGTTGGGTGGGCTCAGAGCAAGGGGCATGAAAGGCAGGATTTGGGAAGTCAGTGCCCCCATAGTGGAGGGGAGGTGAAGGGCTGACTCCCCCATGCATCTCTGGGCCATGCTTAGCGCTGAAACTACGTCTCCCAGGTTGCCCTGCTGCTGCTGCTCCCTGGGGGAGGGATGAGGGGTCCGTATGGGGGGAACGAGGGTCCTGGCCCTACCGTGCTGGCTGCGTGTCCCTGCCCATGGTAAAACGCCTGCCTAGGGGGGATGCTCTGCGGCAGGGTCCTGCGTGGTGTGGGGGTGGCTGCCCTGGGAAGGGGGAGAGGGAAGAGCGTGGGGTCCTGGAGGGAGCGTGGGAGACTTTGTGCTGCAGCTGTGGGTGAGTGAGGAGGGGACCGCTGCGGTGCGCCTCTTGGTTTCTCACACAGGCAAGGAGCCCCTTCCCGTCCCCCCTATTTCCTGATCCCTTTCTCTTTTTCCCATCCCTTGCCCCTTTCCCCATTGCCTTTCCCTTCCGGGTGCCTCCATAACCGGGATGCTGCACTCTCGGCGCCATGCATGACTCGGAGTTTGTACTTCAAGGGAAGTGGGCATCTGGATTCAGTGGGCTCATTGATTCATGGATCTGTGAGCTCAGATTTTGAGCTCAGATTCTAAGGGACAGATAGGCTGACCCCTGTGTGTGGTTTCTCTGAGGATGTATGTTCAAGGGAATTAAAAGACTGGGTGCTAGGAGATCAAATATTTATGGATACATAAAACTAACCTCTTTGCAGGCGCACTGATCTGGGTTCTGTTAGCCATCACCTTCTAGCCTAGTTACAGAAATACTCACTGTTCAATTGCAGAAAATGAACATTTAAAAAACAATTCTTATTTTAAAATAAAAGTTCTACTCCCTGCCACTTCTTCTACCCCCGTTCCTTTTCTTATCTCTTGCCCCCTCCATTGCAATCTGGCTGCTGCTGTTCCTGCCCTAGCAGGGTTTATGAGGAGGGCTATAACAAAGTAGGGGCACAAAGGGTCAGTAGGGTCTGTTGTGATAGGACAAGGGGAATGGTTTCAAACCAAAAGAGGGGAGATTTAGAATGGGTATAAGGAAGAAGTTTTTTATAGTAAGGAGGGTGAGGCTCTGGTGTGGGTTGCCCAGAGAGGTGGTGGATGCCCCATTGCTGGAGATATTCATGTTCAGGCAGGATGGGGCTCTGTGCATTTGATCTAGTGTAGGTATCCCAGTTCATTGCAGGGGAGTTGGACCAGATGGCCTATAAGGATCCCTTCCAGCTCAAACGATTCCATGATTCAGTTTGCTTCTGGATCAGTTTCATGACATGGAGGTGTCTTCAGGACCCTTTTACTTTGGGATCACTTCCATATCTGCAGGCTGAAGAAAACCTCCTTCCTCAAACAACCCAGGACTGATAACAGATGCGAAGAGGTTGTTCCTGCTTCTGAAAGGCTCCTTTGGTCCCAACATTGTAGTCCAACAGAAAAACCTAAACCTCTCATTTTTATGTATCTCAGGCCTCAGCAGGATGGAGCCATCAGAGAAGCAGCATGAGGATGCAGTGGCTTTTATGCTGCAGGGCAAAAAGTGCCCCCCGAAGAAGAACGGTGTCACAGGTGGGTGAGTGCATGCATGCCAACAAGGGGGGATTTCTTATCCAGCCATGCTAGCTTCACACAGAATGGTCACTCCCTAGAGTTCCGTTTGAACAGATCTGATACCTTGAAGTTAATTGGGAACAACTGTTTTGAAATGAGGCCTCAAGCTGTAAAAAACAAAACAAAACAAAACAAAAAAAAACAATGAAAAACCCAGACCCATGTTTTATTTGAAATCCTATGAATGGTATCCGGGAAGATGGTGGGTTTCCAAACAAGCATGAAACTGAGTCAGGGCTCCATTATCCTGCTTGTAACTGTGGACATTGCAGACATCCCTGCCTGAGCCAGCTGGCTGGTGGCAACAGGCATAGGCACCTCAAAACACGAACCCTTCAGCATTTGTTTGGAATGAAGAAAACTGCATGTTTTGATCCCCATTCCCACTGCCTGAGGTGAGTATGGAGTTTACTTGTCCAGATGGAGACCCAGCCAAGTTCTGAGCTTACCTGGACTGGGAATATTTTTCTCTTCACTTGCTTAAAATTCGGGACACAGGAGCCACAATTTTGGCAGCTCGGTTAAAATACTTGGCCTTGATTTTATGAGAAGCCAGTGGGGAACTTTATTCTAGATATGACAAAGGACAGGTTCGCATTTGCAAAATCCAGAAGAAAATTCCTGAAGGTCTCCGTGCTGTGTTGCTATGATTGCATTCATCCCAAACCACCTCTGACATTTGGGTATGGAGAGGGTTCTTGAAAGTTGCTCACTGGGGCAGGGTGCTGGGTTGTATTCCAGTCTAAGCTCATCTCTCCCCTTACCAGGCTGGATTCTGAGGAACATCCAGAAGACCTTCCAGAGGCCTACCTCCCTGCAGCTCTCTTCTCCCATGGCTTTTTCTCAGTGTTGCACAGGTAGGTGAGGCCATTGCAGGTCTCCATAGCTGCCCGAGTTCAATACAATGAGATCTCTTGAGTTCTGTTTTTTTCTGTTCTTTGTTTTCTGAGCCTTATGGTCACTTTTTTCTTCTTCTTCTTTTTTTTTCATTTCTTTTTTTCCCCTAACACAGTATTCTGCTGCTTTGTTTTGGCACAGTCCACCTAAGACATTTTGAGAGCAGAGACGTGTTGAAACCGTACTCATTTAAGCACACGACTGTCTCAGTCTGTTCTCCAGACATGTTCTGGCTCTCGTTCTGGTCTTCAGCAATGTGTGAAGTTGCCCAGATCCAGGAAGGCCTGTGATCAGGTGTCAGGTCACTGCAGTAATTCTATCCCAAGGGAATGATGGATGGATCACCTCCCAGCTGCTCGGGGCATCACTTCAGTGTTAGGCAGAGGTGTTAGCTGTTGGCATTTCCAAGGCTAGGGACTAAGGCACATTCTGTGTTACATGCCTGTGACAGAAGTGGGAGAAGTCCTTGTGAGAAGTGAGATCTGAGCTTAGGGCTCCTCACTCATGAATACAGCTTCTCATCACTGGAGGCTGAGGTTCAGGAAGCAGATGTTCCTGCTGCTCATGAAAGCACTTGAGTACTTGTGTATGCCTATACTAACTTGTATTATTCCTACAGCCTCTTGTCCAAACCTGATAGTAAATGAGGCCCATGAAGAGAAGCATGGGGATTTAGTGCCTGTTGCCCTTCATCATGGTGGGGCTCACTGCTCCTTATTGCCAGCATCAGCAGAAGATGGCTGCTCCAACAACACAGCACTCCGGGGCTGGTGGAGCACTCTGCAGGTCCAGGTGAACACTTAAAGTATATTTGTGCTTCCGTCCATGGGAATGGGCTGGGTGTTTGGGACAATGATGTGCAAGGCCTTTGGAGTCTCTAGTATCCACTGATGCATTGGAGTCTAAATGCCAGCTTATGTCTCCTTGCCCCTGCAGCTGGAGAAATGAGTTTCTGCTGACTCACCCATCCTTTCCTGTTTTGCAGATGGCATCCTATTCCTGTGCCCTCAGACCCAGTCTCACATCTCCTTCTCCTCTGCCTTGTTCAGCAGGCTCTCCTTCCAAGGCCAAGCTCTCCAGCCTCTTCTCCCTCTTCTCACCACCATCACAGATCTCTGAGCCTGATTACAGCTCTCTGCCTTGTGCTGGCTCCAAGAAATCTAGCAGAGGGAGCTGGAAGAAGAGCTCTCATTGTGAAGAGCCCCCTGGTCCCAAATCAGAAGAATCTGCACATTTCCCCTTCACAGGACCCATAATTGCTCAGATAACTGACTACATCTACCTGGGGAACCTCAGTGCAGCCTACAGTGGCCGGGCGCTGTGCACAAATGGCATCAACAGCATCATTGACATGAGCAGCCTGCCCAGTGACCACAGCCTGAGCATCATCCCCTGCACCTGTGGGAGGGGAGGATTCAGGCACAACTGGTCACGCCTCAGGGTTGACATCCAGGCTTTCCTGCATGGAAATCTTCATGAAATAAGGCAGCCATGCTTCCTGGTCATCAACGAGTGCATCGAAGCCTTGATGAAGAAAGGGAAGCGTGTTCTCATTCACTGCAGGGATGGTTACTCCTTAGGCCCTACCTGTGTCATCCAATACCTGATGGTCAAGCACAGCATGAGACTGCTAGCAGCCTATGAACTTGTGAGGGCACGGTACCCACTGAAAATCCAAGAGTGCCATCAGGACCTACTGGTGGGTTTGGAGATGTCCCTGCAGCCTGGCGGTGTCAATGTAGCATGCTTGAAGCACTCCCTGTCAAGGAAGATGGCATGGAGCTAAGCAGGCATAGTGGCTGAAGAAGAAAAGCCAAAAGGAAAACAGCCTTAACAACATCTCATGGGTAAATGAGATGACTGTCAGTGTGGGGTCTGTAGGACAGTGCTGACAAGATGCATACGTGATGGCCTTTCTTTGCAGCAGTTCTTAAAGGCTGGTACTGGCAGAAGTACAGCATGGGGAGCTCTTAGGGACACACTAGAGGGAGAGAGAGAAAGACTCATTTAAGCAGAGGCTGAAGGTTTTTCAGTCCTAATGTAAGGAAATCCCCTGTGCTTCAGGATGAAGAAAACTTTTCTCGGGAACTTTTCTTCCTAAGGGCGCAAGTACATGTCAGCTCCATGTCAGGGGGTTAGAACTGCATGATCTTTTAAGGTCCTTAACCCAAGCCATTTTAAAATTCTATGTGCCTAGTCTCATATTCTTTCCGGGAAAGAGGAGCCAGCCACAGGATTACTCACTTGTTCTGTCTGAGCTTTTACTGTGAGCACAGTTGCTGTTGGGCTGCTGGACTTGTTTTTTTTTTCTTTTTTTCCAACAGTATCTTCCATGGAAATTAGATGTACACATCTGGTGTCATGTTGGACTAGTCACTGCATAGTCCCTGTCCACTTGGTGCTAGTAGGATGCTGAAGGGAAGAAAATCAGTGTAAAGGTAGGGAGATGGCTACGAGGGGCAACTTGTATGGATCCATGAGCCCAGTGCTTCCATCATGTGGTGGTTCTCTGGAGGAACCTGGTCCAGAAGTGTCACACTTGAGTGTCTCTACAACACAGTGCAGAACCTCCTGTAAGTGCGAACCTTTGTTTCTGAGCAGCTTTGCAGGCTGGTGGAAGCGCTCTGAGATTGGTGGCTCGTGTCCCCAGTGCATTGCTCTAGCATGAGGGGAGGGGGAGCAAGGGACAGAGGCTTGTCATCTACTCCATGGGAAAGGTACCCAAACTTGAACACTGTGTCCACTCTTGGTTCCCATGCAATGCTCGTGTTCATGTTTTGTGTTCACAGAGCTAAGACAGCTGACTGCTCACTGTCTTCCCTGAAGGACTTGCCTGAAGCTTGCTTATGCTCTCCTTGGGTTTTTCTGCAAGGAACTCGTTCATTTGTCACTCAAGCACTTGCATTACTTCACTTGGAAACCTGTTTCTCTTCATGTTAACTATTGCTTTGTGTTTTTTTATTTATTTTTTCTTCCTGCTGCCTTTTTCCTCATTCTAGATCTGGGGCCCCTTTCTTTTTTTGGAGGACTGCTGCCCTGTGGTTTAACCTCTTTGCAAGGCAGCTCTGGGGAAATCTCTTCGCAGACTGAGTGATTCAGCCTTTCACTCACCCTATTACCACATCTCACCTTCTAGGACTCCTGTGTCTTACAGACAAATCTGTTAACCAACATTTGGTTCATGGGACTTTTCTTTGTGTTCCTTCAACCCACTCTCTGCACTGACCTGAAGCAATGAAGTGAAAGGAGAGCTGCTATCTGGAGGACTCAGTGGGACAGCAGTGCATGTAGTTCTGTAGAGAGCTGGGGAAAATGACTGGAGAATCTTTGGAAAGGGTAATAAAGAGTTGGTTTAACTTTAGAGCCAAATGTGGCCTATGGATTTGGTACTGAAAGAAAAGTGGCTGAATTTCTCCTCAGTGGGTGAATGCTGTTCCTGGCTGCTGAAGGTGGCTGCTGTCTGTTTCTGAATGTACTTTAGTCTATTTTTCTGAGAAACTGGCTTGAACTGGGAGAGGCAGGCAACTTAGGAGGATCTGCAGGGTGATACCTCTCATCTACAAGCCATGAAGTGAAACCAAGAGTCCTGATGTAGCGGGGTTGTGGTGATTTCACTACCCAAACCATCTAGCTCGCAACATTTCAGCGTGGCTAATCCTGAGCAGACCCAGCCTTGCCCAAACAGGACACCAGTCCCATCTCGAGCTCTTAGTCTTCTTTTACAGTATCTGCTGTGCTGTGTGCATGATGCTACAGGAAGTCTGCAGCAGCATGTTTGCTGCTATCTGTAACATCCAAGAGAAAAATTTGTCGCAGCCACATCTGAATCAGCTTAAAACCCTTTGGCTGACAGGGGAGGGAGCGCCTGGGCTGTGGGAGGAGGGCAAGAGCTGTTTGGGCTCTTGTCTCCATGGGATCCCCTACACACACATGCTACATCTGCTGTGGATAAGGCTGGTGAATATTTCCAGTGCCATTTCTATCCGCCTCTTGCTTGTGGCGTGGGTATGTGGATCTGGGGTGCACCTCAGCACCTTTGGGGTTGCCTCACTTGCTGGTAGCGTGGGGCTACCCAGCAGCAGCTCCACAGCTTTGAGTGGTTTTGTTTTTTCTTAATAAGACTTAACATTTAGTGTTAAAATATTTTACGTGGGGAGGAGCTGCAAATATTTTCCTGTGCGGTGACTGAGGTTAAAAGAAGATGCTAGCACTGAATGGCTTGCTCAGGGATGGCTCTCCTACGTGCTGCTGGTGGCTGAATGTTGGTGGGGTGATGCGTATGCTGCGGGCTCCTTCCAGCCAGCGCTCCCCAAGGGCAGAGCTGCTCCTTTCCTGTGGGGCTGCCTGGCCTGCCCCAGCCAAGGGAGGTGCATGGGGGCTCTTGCACACTATTGGTCTGAGAAGGTCTCCATGCCCTTAAAGAGAAGGTGGATTTTCTGCTGAGCCACCCGAGAAGCCCTTTTATACCTCCTTCCCCGGCCAGCTGCTTGTGGCTTGCCAGTCAGTCCTGGCCGGCCAGCGGGGCTCTCTTTCCTTCTCCGGACTCGGGTGAGCCCTTATGCATGTCTCTTACTGACCAGCTTGCTCTTACTGGGGTGGCAGGGAGGCATATTTGCTCACCTGAATGTTGGGGAGGTAAATGCTGGGTGAGATGAGCTGCTTGGAGAGATGGGGGTGCTGATAAATCCACCTCTGTCCTGTGCCGGTCAGAGGGTCTGTGCATCGGGAGCTCTCCCTCTGCCTTTCTCAGCTGCCTTCTTTTCCTTTGGTTTCATCCTCACTTGGTTTTGCGCTCTGCCTTCATCTCCGTAACTCCTCCTCAGTAGGAAAAAGCATCCTCCACCGTAGCAACTTCAGCTCTCTCCATCTGCACCCCTCCCTCTGCCTGCTGCGTGCAGCCCCTTCCTCCCCAGCACCCGAGTTTCCATAATTCAAAGGCTGGAGTCCCTGTTACTGACCATACCTTGCTATGGGGCCGATCTGGCATTGCTTCCCCGTGCTCTTTGCGCTTTCAGTGCGGGTACACGCGTATGGGAACGCCAGCAAAAATAGCTCCTGCTCCTCATCCACCTGTGGTGGCTTTTGCCTCGCGTCTCACCAACCTCCCTGAGTCACGGGGCCTGGCTGCATCTGAGGAGACAGCTGCAGCTCCTTGTGCAGCTCCCCAGCCATTTTTAGAAGCACTTTTGCTCCCCCCGCTCTTCCCAGCAATGTGTTGTGCCCGCACATTTTCCAGGATAAGGTTTCCTCGGGGAGCTTGGCCCAGCAGCCTTTACCTCCTCCTTGGGCAATGACCTCCATTAACATTTTGTCTCCCAGGTCTGCAGATTGCTGTCTATTAGGGAGTTCACTTCTCTATAAGGGAGTGGCTTCATTTGGGCTTAGCCAGTACTCTTTCTGTACCCATCAGTGGGTATGAGCAGGAAACACTGTTCTGATAAGTAAAGCTGCATTTATGGGGAAGAATTGGCATCAAAAGGAACCTTTCCCTGAGAAATCTCTCCATGCCTTTGCCAATCGCTTTCAGCACCATGCTTCGTTATCTGTGCTGAGCTTTCTCCCCTGCCCCATGCAATGCACACACATGCTGGCAATCCTTGTCACCTATGGTCACTGCCTGGCTCTGTTCCCTATGCCAGAAGCCTCCCCAGTCTTTGGGATGATTCTTATCCATGAAGGTGTCAGTGCAGTTTTCCTCCTTTGGTAGACAACAAGATTGAAGCCTAAAATATTTGTGTTGATTTTTCTACAGGCCTATACCATGAGGACTGTATGAAAGAACAACAGATGTATAATAGCTTTTTTCCTCCTTCTTACTTCATTGTGTAACGTGGTATATTGTTGAGTCAAGTTAAAAACGAGCCTATAGGGAGCACTGGCACAATCTCTCTTTTTCCAGCCACGTGCACTTGTCCCAGTGCACGTCTGGCTGTGAGCTAGCACATGTTTACCTTTCATCCACTGACTGCAGCCCAGTTTCCTCTGTGATGGAAATTTGAAGAAGTTGGGAAATACAAGCAAAACTGTTGTTCCTCTTTTTGGTGTCTGGGGAAATCTTGCTTTGTTCCTAAGCCCAAGAAAGCCAATGCTAGCACGAATAATTGTGAATTATTTTGGTTCTTGTTGCAGGTTCACAACCATCTAAAGCAAGATGTCTGAGTAAGTTCCCATTTTCTGTCTCCAGTATGTTGCTGATGTTCAAACTTGTTCAGCTGCCAACTTTTATATACATACTCCTCTGCTTGTTTCCAATGAGGATGCTAACTGCCTTCTTCTCCCCTTTCTCTTCTTTCCTTTCCTCGCCCATCTGCTCTCCCTGCACAGTGACGAGGTAAGTGTGTCCTGATGGGCTTTTCCCTTTCACAGAGCTCATAGCATCGGTTCTCGCTTTGTAGTTCCTCTATAGCAAAAGCGGTTGTGGAGTGGTGGGAGGAAAGAATGTCCCATGACCTGGCTTTCCTGATGCCTTCTGGAGAAGAAGGGAAGAACAAGCAAAATTCCCTTTTGAAGGGTCTTTGCTGGCACTTGAATGCTTTCCCTCTTTCCTGCTTCCCTAGCCGGCCACGAGATGGTGCTGGGAAGCGCTGCCCAAACAACTCCTGGGCCGCATCTCATTTGTCAGCAGCGGGGATGCAAAAAATCCCACCTATGGTGCTGATATACAATGGGTGCATCGGATGTCCACTAGCGCACTGACCCAGGGAAGGCTAGGAAAGCACTCTGAGACAAGGTAGCACTTTTCAGAAGGAGAACAAGCCCTGGGCTTGGAGTCCTCGAGGAATCTGAGCAAGATGGTGCATGATATCCCTAAGCTAGACAAAGATGAAGCTGGTTTGGGGACCAAATGTGTGATGAGCTGTGGGATTGTGTAGGCAAGAGGAAAAGATGAAGGAATGCATCATAACTTACCTTGTTCTCATTTTTCCCTGCTGCAGAAAAAGAGGAGGGCAGCCACTGCCCGGCGGCAGCACCTGAAGGTACGTGGCACTGCTGGGGCTGGGCAAGGTGTGTACCAACCCATCTCTCATCCAGCCATTGGCACTTTCCTGCCTGGGAAAGAACATGATGCACAATGTGGAGCTCCCCATACCCTTTTCTGCACCTTACCAGGTCATGCAGCAAGACTCTGGTGTGGGGGGAGGCTGGGGTCAGCATCATCCTGAGTTTCCCAGAAGTCCCCATGAGTCCCCTTTGCTCAGAGATGCTGGTATTTTGGACATGGAGAGCTCCCATCCTGTTCTTCTCCTTTGCCCAAAACCCATGTTGATCTCCCTCCTGCTGCTTTCCAGAGTGCTATGCTCCAGCTTGCTGTCACTGAAATAGAAAAGGAAGCAGCTGCTAAAGAAGTGGAAAAACAAAACTACCTGGCGGAGCATTGCCCTCCTCTGTCCCTCCCAGGATCCATGCAGGAACTTCAGGTAAAGACTCCTTTCTCCATTTCAGAAAGTATAGGGCTCCACCCCACAGACTGCTGCATTTAGATTGTCCTTCCCATCTTGACCGTTTCCCATCCCTGGGAGCCTCCCTTCACTGTGGAGTGACAGGGATTGGCATCTCTGGGATGTGTTGGGTGGTGGATGCCAGTACAAGGACATGAGGGCAGCACTTGTGTGAAGGTGGTTGATCAAAGACCAGAAGCTGGGTTGCAAAATACCTTTCATCATCTGGAATTGGTTGGTATTGAGTGGTGGTTTGCTCCTTTTTTAGTCTTTGGGAGACAGAGGTAGAGGAGTCTTTCAGAGACAGAGGAGAAGGAAGTGGTCAGGAGAGAGGAATTGCATGGCATGCTCTATTACTCAACATCTGTCTACTTTTCCTCCCAGGAACTATGCAAAAAGCTTCATGCCAAGATAGATTCAGTGGATGAGGAAAGGTATGACACAGAGGTGAGGCTACAGAAGACAAACAAGGAGGTGAGCATCCACTGGAGCATCCGGCTCATCCTTCATTCCTCTCCAGGTGCATGGTCTGTCTCACAAAACTCATGCTCTGCTCTTTCTGCCCACTTCTCTCTTCCCCACAGCTGGAGGACCTGAACCAGAAGCTGTTTGACCTGAGGGGCAAGTTCAAGAGGCCACCCCTGCGCCGGGTGCGCATGTCTGCTGATGCCATGCTGCGTGCCCTGCTGGGATCCAAGCACAAGGTCAACATGGACCTCCGGGCCAACCTGAAGCAAGTCAAGAAGGAGGACACGGAGAAGGTACCATTCCACTCCCATTAAGGCATAAGCTCCCGACTTTTGGGGATGACATCTCTCTGCAGGATAGACTGGCAGAGCGTGAGCTTATCTCAGTAATGTCCTTCCTGCTCCATGTTCCCTCCTCCAACTCCCATGCGGTTGTAAACACGGAGTCCAGCCTTGAAATACACACAGCAGGGGTGGAATTGGGAGTCTTTAGCTAAGTTTTCCAGGGGAGGTGAAATGTTGAGCACTTGTGGTGAGGTTCCCATGGGTGGATGGGTGAAAGGGCACTGTTTGGGTCAGTCGTTACCCCATGGGTCCACCTCTTCATGCACAATTCTCCCTTCTGCAGGAGAAGGACCTTCGTGATGTGGGTGACTGGAGGAAGAACATTGAGGAGAAATCTGGCATGGAGGGCAGGAAGAAGATGTTTGAGGCTGGCGAGTCCTAAGCACTGGTCTCTCCACTTTTCCCATTGCCACCCTCTTCCATCCCCTCCTGAGCATGGCCACAGCCTCACTGCCTTGAACCTCAACGTGTCCTCACCATGCATTGAACCCACTGACTGGGTGCTGTTTCTCTGATTTTGTGAAGAGCTGCAGTCTGGAAGCAGCAGTGTAAATAAAGCTTTCATGGGAGAGGGCGATGTGGCCTGCCGTGGTGGGACTGAGGATGCTTATGGTTGTGGGAACACACTGAGGACACCCTGACCTCATTGACAGGCTGCTTGACTTGATGGTCAGCAGCACAGGGGGTTCCCCGACCTCCCTCTCTCTTGGCCTCTATCTTGTCATAGGGTAGAAAGGCCTCTCTTCTAAGCTGGAGATCCATTCTCTAACTCATAGCCTGCCCTCATGTCTCCCATTTTAGGAGCTTCCCTTCAGAAGCTACCAGGGCAGACAGAAGGGAGGGATGGAGACTGGGGGATGGTGAGGAACCATCTGCCAGAGGAAGGAAATGGGTGAGATCATGCCACAGTGCCACACCTCCTCCTGCTTCTGCTTCTTTTCTGAGGGGGAGTCTGTGGGTCAGGAGGTGGCTCCAATTTATCTTTGCATCAGACTTTGTGCACGTGATGCTGTGCTGTGTCTCCTCTCCACGTCCTTCATCTGGCTCAGAGCAAGGAGCACCTTTCTTCCTTCTCTCTCTGGATTGAGACCTGCTGAAAGGTCACAGTCTGAGCAGTCTCCAGAAGCTGTCCCCATCCAAACCACTTCCCTGGGCACCTTTCCTGGGCCAACAAGCTCTGCACCCTATCTTGAGGTACACAGCATCTCATGCAGCCCAGCTCCAGAGCTGGGGATAGACAGACTGCCTCTGCCAGGAGCTGAAGGGGTCTTACAGGGCTTTACTTCTTGTGTCTATGAATAGGGTGTTTGGGCTCTGCTTCCCTGTAGATAAAGGTGAGTTCAAGCCCTGGGAAATTCCACTGGTCCTCCACACTTGATGGCAGAAGAAGATGAGGGGAAGGACTACTAAAATCATCTAGTCCAACCACCAACCCATCCCCGCCATGCCCACTAAGCCACATCACTCAGTGTAGCACTTACCCTTTTCTTGAATACCTCCAGGGACAGTGACAGCTTCAAAGCTACCACCTCCCTGGGCAGCCTGTTCCAGTACCTGGAGCAGGGAAGGAATGTTCTAGAACATGATGTAAAAGGTGATAGCTGAAAGGTAGAAGCTTTCAGCCGGGGCACAGGGGGGACACAGAGTATGCTGACAGTGCACAACAACTATATCCAGAGGTTGGGGATCTCCAGAGGCAGGGGCAGCATATGCTGAGTGCCCGAAGCAGAGTGGGTTGTTATTTTGAGAGGTGTGTGACCAAGACTACCTTCATGCCTGTGGTGATGGTGCCCAATTCACTGTAGGGTGCTGCAGTTTAAGGCTGCAGTATTACCCCAAATTGGCCGTGCCTGAACCATGAGTGGCTCTGGAGAGTGATGGGCTGCCCTTCTTACTGCTGTGGGGAGTTGGGGGAGGATGACCATGCACCCCGCTGTCCCTTCATCTTAGCTTAACACTTCCCACTTTCGAAGCTTCTGACATGCAAAACCTTAAAGTAATCCAAACGGTTGTTAAAAAAAAATAATAATTTGCATTCCCTCTGCTCCTCTCCCATCCCCCCTGAACCCTCAGCCCACAAAGTTTCCGGCACAGCTCACTTCTGCTGAGTGCAGGAAGAGCAAAGCAGCAGCGGCAGAACCCTCTTGCATCATTCCTTTGTGCCAGCCAGGAGGGGATATGTCGGACCCTGAGGAGTGCCAGGAGGCTGCAGGAGGCACAGATCAAGCAGGAGATGAATCCTTCCAGGAGAGCGAGAGGTGAAGCTGGGGAGCCCAACATCTGTGAATCTGGGAGGATGGGAGCTGGGTTTGTTGGTGGGGGAGGAAGTCTGTGGGGCTGAAATGAAGAGGATCCATGGGACATAAAGGTGGCCAGATGCTTTTGGAGAGGCCTTCCAGATAGGGCGAGATTTGGGCATCTCCTAGGTCCTATCTCCATTGAACTTCAAGGCCAATGGGATGTTGATCCAATGGAAAACCTGGCCACCACCACATGTAAGGTTAGCTAGGGGTCTGGCTATGAAACTCAGAACTGCCTTAGTGCTTTGCTGTTGAAACCTATCTTTAAGATGAGGTGGGGACAAACCCTGCTGCTCTCACTGTGTGCACATGAGTGGAGTGCTTTTGCAGGAAGGAAGTTGAAAGTGGGAAGTTGACCCAAGCCCCTCTTGCTTTTACCTGCTGTCTGCTATGGCTCGGCTGTCTTCGCTGGGCACGTCCTTGGAGACACTCAAGGTCAGGCTGAACATGGTTCTGAACAACCTGATGTAGCTGTAGGCATCCCTGTTCATTGTAGGGGAGTTGAACCAAATGACCTTTAAGGGTCCCTTCCAACTCAAATGTTTCTATGACTTGTGACACTGGATGCAGCTATGGGATGGGGTGGAGAGATGATGCTTCTCTGGGGGTCTGATTTCCTTTTGTGTTGACTATTCCTGTAAGCTGAATTAACTAGAACATTTTTCAGTCTGCTGTCTTTTGTCAGTTTACACCTCTCTCTCTTCCCCTGATCTGCTTTGTTCCTTTATCAATTTGCTCTACAATGGACAGCTTTTCATGGAGGTTAAAAGGGAAAAGAGTAGCAGCAGAGACCAAATTACAGCTGCCCCTAATAAAGGAGGCAGAGATAAGATGGGCTGAAAATCACACAAAAGAATTCAGACTGGGACTCGCTGGGTTTAGTCTGAGCATCCATGGAGCTTGGGGGGTTGTCTGGTTTTCTCATCCAGCTTCAAAGCTCATATTAACATTTATCCCAAAGGCAGCACACTTCACGTTGACAGAAAAACACCCTCTGAGTGACAGTAAGAGGAGAAAGGTGTGTCATCTCCCATCACTAATGATTGCAGTGTTTTGGCTGACACTTGACAGCAATTGGGCTTGGCTGAAGCCTTGACTGGAAGCATCAAAAGGTGCAAAGCCTCAGCAAGCTCAGCTGCCTGCAGAAATAAAAAGGGTTTGCTGCTGGGGGAGTGGGGTGATGGTTCAGCATGGCATATGCAATCCCAGGCAGTGCTCTGTACACCCAGCAGGAGGATGGAGCAGTTGTTGGGGTATCTGGGACAGCCAAGCCTTCATTTGTGTTATGTTGGCTCAGGTGGGGCCATGCAGCATCATCAGTTGCTAAGGTAAGGTCAACTTTGTCCTTTCTCTGTTTCCTGCTGGAGTTTCCTGTAAATAAGGTAGGAAGTTATCTGTTCTTTGAAAATAGTGAAATTTTATTAAACTTGCTGCAAAGTTGTGTTTGTGAGTGTTGATCAAAGTGTGGTGCAGACCTTTCTTTTTCAGCTGAATTTAAATGAAAAAAAAAAACTAAATATGATGGGGGAAAAAATAGAGAGCAAAGTAATGTTTGGTTTGGAAAACAGAGAATTGACATCCTTCCTGATTTGTGAAATGGTTTCCTATGCAGCTCTGAACTTCTCCTGCTTTTGGTTGCAATTAAATGTTGCTAGGTTCTCATGATTTCCACTCACAAAATGAAGGGAGGAAGTGTTTGTGTGCTGCTTAGGGCTACCTTTCTCACCCGAGGCTAGATCAGCTTCCTGATCTCTTCACTTTAGGCAAAAGCTCCTTGCAAACTAGGGTTATGCTCTTCCATGAGCTGCCATCTCTCTATGGGAAGACTGAACAGTGTGAACCTGATGCCTTGCAGGACATCCCACTGGAGCATGGCTCACAAGCAGGCTTTGCTGTGGGGCTACAGGCTGTGAGATGAGAGATCACCTCCTAAATTCCCCTGTTTCCCTCTTGCTGGGGCTGCAGGAAGCCCTCAGCAGCCCATGTATGGTCAGCAGAAAGGGAAGGATGATGCTGTGCCAGCAGCCTCAGGCTTTTCCTTGCCCCAGCTGTCTCAAATTCTCTGGATCATAGGAGGAGCCTCAAGAGCCCTTGCTAAGATGACTCTTGTTGCTAAGTATACCCATAGCTGTAAGCAGGTTGGCCAGGAAAACTGATATGGGGAAAGTCCTCAGCACACTGGATTCCTTCAGGGAAGGATGGCTGATCCCTGCTTGGGAGTAACTGGTCCAAGTCTGACCCAGCTGGGTGCATTGGTGTGAAAAGGAGTAGAACAAACAAAGGAGGGCCAGCAGAGTTCAGCTGGAAAATTCCATGAAACTGGGCAATGCAGTTCAGCATTTCCACATTGGATATAGGTGCTCTGGCTGGGTTGTTAGGGATAAAGAGCTGCCTCTAATTATAGGGACATATCAGGTGCCTTTACTGCCCCTTTCTACTTTCAGGAAAGCTTGCCTCTGAGCCTGGATTGCCATGTAAAGCCGTAGGTTTGGTGTACTAGTTAAGTAGGTGATTGCCCTGGAGATCTTATTTGAAATTTTTAATTGCACAAGACTGTGCTGGCTGGAAGGCTGTAGAAAAGGGGGGAAAAAAGTGAGAGTTTTTCCAGCAGGTTGTTTTAAAACGTTCTGAGTTGGAATCTGGCTCTGAAGCCTGTGGGATTCCCTTCTCTGTGGATTATGGGGAGAGCTTATTGTGGAACTGAGTGTGAAGGCAAAGTGGGGGAAGGCTGGGTTGGGAGAGCTGGAGACCCAGAGAATGCCAGGAAGAGGCTTCGCCAAAACCCACTGTTGTGATGGGATGAGACTTCTGGTTGGTGGGACACCAAACCCCTCCAACATCCCAGCCTTGCACCCATCATCCCTATCACCTATCATCAGTTGGCAGTCTATACATATGGCACACAGTGCGAAGAGGAAGGTTATCTTTACTGTAAGGTCAGGGAACCAAGGTTGACATCTTTATGAAGGGAAAGAAACACCTTAGCCATGGGATTTGTACTGTGCCAGTCAACAGGTATGGGTAATCCTTTACTGGGACACCTGACAGGGCTTGCATATCTCCAACGACACTTGACACCTATGTTTAGGCAACAGAATTGCTCTGAGCTCCCAAAACCACTGCTGAGATCTGAGTTGAGCTCTCCTGGTTACTAGCAGGTGTTTCTCAACTCCCATGCTCTGTGGGTGCTCCATGGAGATGCAGTCACCAAAGGGTTAACCAGCCCTGCTTGGAGCCTGAGTGCATTTTCCCTGCCAGTGTATTCCTCCTAACG